ATCCCTAAATAGTCTACGTGTTTTTTTACATAAATCCCTGAGCCTCATAAAATCCTGGTCCATATACTTTATAGATGCCCGAAAATCGTGCATTGGATAAGTAAAAACTGTGGAATGTATATGGCATCGAAGTAGGGAGACGGAGGTTAACTAAGGGACACGACAGTGAGGAAAACAAATGCGCGGAATATAAATTATCTATGCACATTAAACATCGCAATACTAAATATTTTATGATATAATACTTTTATTATAAGGTATAAGGTTGAATCTTTTTTATTATATCTATCTTTACGCGCGCCTTGTTTGATTAAATAGGTTGAATTGTATTCGGTTTAGTTGTAGCGAAACCGCGATCTCTGTTTACATTTCATGAACATAAAGTTATATATTATACAATTTATTATATTTCATTAAATTTGTTAATGACCTTAATATTACTATATGTACGTATATATGTGTTGATATGTATCAATACTTAACATTATAAGCCGCTCTAGCCATGAGGGACTATCTAGTCTATTTCGATATTTCGATTATTTTTCCACGACCTTTTTTTAATAACCTGAGGCACCTATGAGACGCATTTTGACTATGTGAACCCAAACTCAGCAATTTTTCATCTTTAAATTAAGACACTCATGCTTCATAGTCATATGCATAATTAATTATAAATTTCATTTCTGCAGAAGCAATTTTTAGTTAATTAGGGTAGTTTAATAGTAAAACGCAGAAATTTTGGAAGGCGCATCACCTAGCTACTACATAAAAGTAGACAAACTCAGTATTTTGTTACTTAAAATCTGCCATTAAACCTTAAATCAGCAGTGATTTTAAATAGTTTTTCCTAATTTTTTAGACATAAGGTTGAGAGGCAGAGAGTTTGCAAACGTTTGGGTCGGGTCTGATATACTTAAACCTGTAATAGAGACATTGGAATATAAACTAAAACATTTAAAGTCTTCCTCCCTATGGTTGAACGAGTTAAATAATAGAAAAGCATTATTCTAGGGAGAAAGTCTATATTTTTGGGCGTTGAAATAATTTACAAAGTTGGTGTTCTTAGGACTAAAATATATCGGAAGGATCCATTGATATATACTTATTAATGTAACTTACATACATTCGGCCTCGGATCCGTATTGATTGAAGAATCATAGTGTTAACTAATTAAGAAGTATGAAAAAAATAAGTGGATGGAGTAATGTATGTTTTTATGGATATTGCATCTTGAATAACAGTTCTGATCACCCAAGTCGCATCAGATCATGAAAAAGTCTGGTTGTTGGATTTACCCGAAATGATATGGGGCATAAGTTTACACTGAATTTCACGTAGAATTCCTTTCCAAAAGATATTTTTATCCAGAATGGACTGCAGCTTTGACTTTACCTTGGTCGAACCTGGATAATGCAGTTTTTAATCTTGACATTTTACCACCACGCTACACGTTCACTAGAGCTCCTGGGTCATATTGTAGACATGAATTTCAAATAAGGCCAATGCTTTCTCATTTCGTATTTATAGTAGAATTACCGATATTTCAAACTAGTATTTTGTTTAAAATTATAACTTATTCTAGATTTACTGATAGTTTGGAACCTAATTTCTATGGTTATATAGTAACGCAGTCAATTATATGGTAAAATAAAAATTTTGAATAAGTGGGCATTCTTCCTAGATCGCCTAAAGTGGCGTAAGAGTTATAGTTGCATTTTTCCACAATGATATGAATGTGCCTCCCGTTGTCGTTGAATTTTATTTAGCCTTGTTTCCCATAAAGTATTGGCATCCATGGTTGACTGCAGTTTCGGCCTTTCCTAGTTCCTGCCGGATTCGAATATGATTAGTGCAAAGTATAATCTCGACAAGGAACAATCACGCTACACTGTCATTTGTGTGCCGGGGTCACAGTGCAAACATGGATTTCAATCAAGGACAAGCCTTTCCCACATCAAATTTTATAATGTGAAGGTCGAAACTGCAGTCTACTCTGGACAAAATACCTTTTGGGGATCATGTCTAAGTCAAATTCAATATAAGCGTGAGGTCTACTCATATAATTGTTGAAAAATTCAAATATCGATGCTTTACCAACTTTCGCAACATAGGGTGAATACAACTCTTAATCAAAATTTATTGATAGTTTTGTAATTTACTTTAAAAAAATATAAAATAAAGTTCGCCTCATAAGTTTTACATATCCTGACAAGAAACAAGCCTATGTACACTCGACTAAAGCCTCAGCTAACTCCCCTCCTTTAAGGGAAGCATAGCACCCATTAAGCCCAAAGTAACAAAAAAGGGTCAGAATCGTATGTATGCGATAACTGAATAGTTAAAATCTTACTTTGCGTATGCTTTTTCCAAAAGAGCACTCCAAAATCTTTTTTTTCTGGAATGATAATAAACCAACTTGTAATCAATCGTAGGGAGTAGATGATCTATCACTACATCATTCCAGTCACCAAAACGTCAGAATCGAAAGCAGAAAATGCCGCAATAAGATTCCGGCTTTGAATAATTCCAATCTTGAAACTTATAATAGGGTATGAGCTGAAAATATCCTCATACAAGCAATCTAATACTTGCTTTCACAAACTCCAATTTAGAGTGATAAATGCACAAGCCGCAATAAACAAGCAATTTCCAAGGAGATTTTGGTTGGTGTCAGAAAATTCAACACCAATAACGAAGAGATACGGTGTTCTGCAAATTTCTCCATGCCTCTTCCATTCTACGTTTGAATGGGGTTTTCTATCTAGAGACCCTCTTAGCCAATTTTATGTTCAACCGTTGTGGATTCACTTGCACCTTATAGTGCTGCATCTCTTTCTTTCAGCCCCACTTACCTATTCCCACCATTCTGGGTTTTCGTTTCCTCCAATGTCGCCTAAAAGCATGTCGCTTAAAGTGGATTTAGTGAAGCCTAATCTGCTTCAACACTGGTTTCAGATGCCGCTTGAAGGGCTTCTGTGTTATGGCTTTTGACTTTCATCTAGCCCTTTTCCTCCCGTCTTGCCACTCTACCTGTATTTGGCTGTCTTAAACATGGCTGCCCGATAGTCTTCGATTCTGAACCGGTTTACGTGTTATATGAGGATTTAAAGACCTGTGATTCTAATACCTAGCCTATTCTTTATCCTGAACTTAAGACCCATGACCAAGTTATCCTCTTTCTCGTCCCCACCCTATTCTCTAAAATTTTCTGGCTTCCTGAGCCTGGCTTAATACGAATCCGACGGGGTTTAAATGGACTACCTTAATTTCCCATTCCGGAGTCATCAAAAAAGGGTAAGCACTTGTTCTCTTCCATTTTTATTGTGAACGTAATGTTCCTTTTACATGGGTTAAGTGAAAGTAGGAAACTATCTAAAATTTCCTAAACATAAGACCAGATGACCAGTCTCTGCCATGTCATCGGCCAATTATGACGGTTAGAACCAGCTGCCTTTACAGGCATTGTTGTGTGCACCTAAACTTTGACAAATAGACCGTAACTTCTCAGCATCATAAGGTCGACCAGAGGAACACATAATCTTGTAAGAGTTGGATCTCGAAGAACATGTAAGGATTTATTTGGGCACTATTTATATTCCACCCCCTCTTATAATTTCGCACATCTTCTTAGAGGGAACGCATGTCAGCAAAAGTTAAACAAGAGAAAAGGTCTCAGTTTGTTAGGGATTTGCATTTCGTATGAAAGTGCATGAAAAGATTCGAAGGTCGATCTCACGAGAATCCAATGGGTGATTCCCGTTGTACTGCAGCCATTTGAATTAAATACGATGCTCGAGTTAAGGAAGTCCAAGAGACATCCTTTATCGTTTCGGGTAAAAACAGTCTGAGATGATGAAGTAAACGTTTTACCTGTTTTCACCCAAACAGGGAAGGATATATTCTGAGTCGCATGAAGCACACTCTTCTTGTCTCTCAACTTGACAGTCGCATCTGACCCTAAGGTTCTACTTAGTCGTTCATGTGAACGTTGATTGGCTTCTCATCTTAGTCAGGCAAATCATCAATAACTCAGTTATCGGTTTTATCTTTTTCTGTCTTTGAATAAATGTCCTTGGTCCCAGAGTCTTCTTTTAGCTATCGTCGCTGAAGCTCCAAGTCTACCCAGACCGTACGCGAAAGTATCACTGACTCTTCCCTATTTCAATCACCTGTTTATTAGGTTTATCTGAAGGAAGATGCCCATAACCTCTCTAATCTTACATTCTTTACATATGAGTATTTTAGTTACACTTCGGTCAATTATATAGACGGTCGGGGCAATTTGTTTAGCTATCTCCTATCTTTCTATATCCATTTTTCTGCACAGTTACTGCTGTTCTTTTATCCTTGTGTCAATTGTTCTTCCCGTCTCTTCGATGTAGTTTTTTGTTTACAGTCCTTGCAGCTTATGCTGTACTTTCCGGAGCACTCCACTTCGTTCACTTCTTCCTCTTGTGTGGGCAAGCAGCCGCAGCTTCCAAACCAGTTCACATGAGGGTACACATATAAATTGCCTTTCTTTCATAAGCCACGTACTTCCATCTGCAAGGCTAGTCAATGACCTTGGGTAAGGCATCAAATATTTATTTTTCTGAATGTGAATGTACCTCATTTGCCGACAGTACCAAAGCTTCCCATCAAGGTGCTCATAACATGATATCGAATCATGTTAGGGGTGCTGAAGGGACCTAAGTGAGGTCAGAACCCAGTGCCCCTGGATAATATAGCCTTTCGTGAGGCAAAGTGCATTTAGCTGTCATTCCAGTATAATATTACCTCGTTTTGTATTAATCTTGCGTGGAATTCACATGACGGTACTTAAGTAGCCACTTTTTGTTTATACTGAAAGTCTACCTGATCATACAATTAAATTACTAATGCGTAATTATATTTTGTAGAAATCTGAATAAGGATCAGTTTCGAATTTTCTAAAATGTGTACAGTTATGACCCCTTATTCTTTCAAGCCAAGAGAAAATCCAGATACTTGTATGACTAGCAAGAGATGTTCAGATCACGGACACATGAAGCCAGAACCTTAAGGCTTCATGTCTTGGTTTCTTATTATTGGTGCACGGTTTTTTCTCTAGTGCCCGCCACATAAGAAGGCATATGGACTGAACTGTCGATAGCCCGCTCCAATTGGTCGGATGCTTTTCGACTTTATTCCACTCTGCTTCTTTGATTGGAGGCTGTCTTGCTGTCCCATATGCCTACTGCATTCCATAAAGCCTGTACCTTCAGATCGCAGATATCTGCCAAGCAAGCCGGTGATGCAGCACCTCAAACTTGCCGTGTTCTTCATCTCCTTTGCCATTTATTCATCGTTCCAACATCCACCCGAACATCCAGTTGGTATAAATAATTATACTTGAAGCGCGCTTAAATTTTAATATATATC